ATCTCCCGCTACCTGAAGTAGTCTCAGCCTGCTACTTCTCCGCCATCTTGACTCCTCACCTGTAGTTTATTTTTTTACACTTATATGAATAATCAAGTCAGTCCTCATGTCCAGGTTGACTTCCGTTTTCACAACTATATTAACAGCATTTAGCTTAGGGTATTGGTGAGGCCCAAGTTGCAGTTTCAGTTTCCATGTGGACAAGTTATTATCATCATCCAGCATTCCTAACAGCTAGCCATCTAAAAATATCTTGGTCACTAAGGATGAGCAGATTGTTAGGTGAAGAACTCAGAAATTCTTGCCTTACTAATAGTGGGTCAGGAGTTTCATTGTTGTTCTTAATCAGCACAAGGGCCCCAGATGACTATATTTCTTCTAGATGCTTCGGGGTAGTCTTATGATGTCTTTCATGGACAATTATCATTTTTAAATATGTTACTTCTGATACTAACAGTCCTCTGAAGTGAATAACAGAGTATCGCTTTATAATTACTAACCACTGGCAGAAGGAACATAAGCTGGGTCGTATTATTTAATTACAAAAGACCCTATGTCTCTCTCTCTGCCTTATTAAATTATGACTTTACTCCTACTCTTAGATAACAATTATTACCTTTAAGCATGAGATTTTAAGCAGGAAATATAATGAGTTGTGCCTGATTGTTCTGGAATGCATCATTTTCCTTACATATGCTATTCATACAAATCATCTTCCCATTTTTTGGACCAAAACAGCCAATTCATATCAGGCATTAGCTTTTCTTAATTTTCTTAATTTTGGTCTTTATCCTTTCTGAGTAATCCTTGTCTCTGGTTTACTAGTGTCAATAACTTTCTGAGATCAGTTTCGTAAACCAAGAGGCCTAGATGGGGTCAATATGATGCCAGGTATCTGAATCAAATGTGGAAAAAGTCAGATGCTTATCATGCATACTGCCAAATATCTGGTTACATTTGGAAGCACTCATTAGCAGAACATGAACAATTAACATTTTTCGTTTCTTATCCAAGTGTCTGTTAGAGTTTAAAGACAACCTTGATGTGTCACTACGTAGAGAGAAAATAGTGTAGTAAATTTAGTGTAGTTTCAAGAAACTATAGAGTGACTTTATCAACATGAAAATGCTTAATTTTTTTAAAAATGTAAAATGTTTAATTTTTCTTTCTATATAAGCTACTGTGACTGCCTCGTTGAATGTCAAAATAGCCTATTTTTGGTTAACTAAAAACTATTTTAAGTAGAAACCTAATGATATAAAACTAAATGAGGTGAGGGATTACTACATGGTCCTATCTACTAATGTTGGCAGAAATTAAATCTGCCTTACTGATGGATGCTGGCTCATTTTATGTGCTCTTTCTCAAGTATTTACTATATTAGATGAATGAACAATTAATAGAAACCAAAATCATTTAGAATTGAAAAAGTATTAGAACACTATGACATTACAGTCCAATTGTAAAGCGAAAACAACATACTTACTTGAAGGTGGGACACTTTTGACACTTAAGACATTTTATTGATGTGTTTATGTGTGTTACAACTTTTGAAAATCTAGAGTTACCTTAAAAGGGTGAGTGAGTGAGAACTTTGAGCTTAAATTCTGAGTGATAAATTTGGACTTGATATAAAAGTAATATGAAAACATAAAAAGAGCATTAAATTAGCAGTTGAGGGACCTACATTCTGATTATAGATATTCTTTAATTTGATGTAAAATTCTTAGGGAGTTGATTTTTCCTCTCTGAGGTACAGATTTCTCAAAAATAAAATTAGAGTGTTTGATTATATAATCTCCAAAATCTGTTATTATACTAAAATTCAAGGATACCATGAGAAAATATGGTTAAGCAGTTCTAATGTTATACTATAAGTAACTATGAAAATACAACCTAATTATGAAAATCAGATTTCATAAGTTGGATTTTTAGTCAACTATCTTTATATGAAGAAGAGCATTTTCCCATGAATTAATAACTCAAAGGAATTTACAATAAAAAATTTTACCAAAGTATTTCATTGTCTTTAAGGTCCAAGAAAGATCTACTTCAAAGCCTTACAATCAGGATTGTGAACACCGTGTCAAGATCTCTTCAAAGTATGTGTCTCTGATTTCTATATTCTAATTACTCACTATTTACTATCACATGGAAAATTAAAGCATATTTATTTGATAATAAGTTTTATGTAAAGTCAAAACTAAAAAATATTAATGAAAACATTGTCACTAGCGATATCTTCATCTTGTATTTAAAACCTTAACTGCAGTAATTCATTAACTAGATATTTCATATTTAGATATACTGTAGTCTCAGTGTCATTTAGTTTAATAATTTGCTTATAAGATCCACAATTTAATAAAAGAAATGTCAATGAATTATTTGACAGCTTTCAATTGGTACTTTAAAAGAAAAAGATGTGAAACTTTATATGTATCATGTACTTCAATTATACATTTTGTCATGTAATATGTCATTAATATCATGTATATGTACTACATGTTAAAATACACACACAATTCCTTCAGAAGTTAATGCCATGGAATGGGCAAGCTTAAAATGACTTATGGGGAAACTCAAATCTAAAACTCAGTATTATAGCAATGATATTTTATACTGGTAACTATATTTTTTATCTCTATAATATTGGTGATGTTCAGTAATTTTTGAAGATCATATTTCATATTTTAGATGTCATGTGCAAAGCATTATATTTGAAAGCTAAATAAAGTTGTTTATTTACTTGTTTATTTATTTAAGATTTATTTATTTTAGAGAGAGAGAAAGAGCACGAGCAAGAGAGGCAGAGGGAAAGGGAGAATCTGAAGCAGACTCCATGCTGAGCACAGAGCCTGACATGGGGCTAGGTCTCACAACCCTGAGATCACAACCTGGGCCAAAACCAAGAGTTGGACGCTTAACTGACTGTGCCACCCAGGTGCCCCTGAAAGCTAAATTTTAATGTAGATTTTCCTTGAAAATCATACCCCTTCCAACTCCAGATTATAATGGACAGAACTTAGCCTATATTCATTCACTCAGTCATTTGCTAAATATTTATTGAGCACCTGCTATTTCAAGATACTGGACTGTATGGTCAGATTGCATAGAGTTGATGGTATGTAGCATATATATTACTACCTCATTATTATTTAAAACCCCATATATTTATGTCCTTAGTCTTAACTTGTGTGCAGAAATCTTGGAAAATTAGAAAGCAAGATTAGGAACTTTTGCTTTCTCTGCCTTCAGTGAATAAGTTGTCATGGTCCTTCTGACCACAAAGGGAGAAAACAGCTTACTTTTGTATATCTTTTTGGTATCATGGGATACATCTTTAACAAAATCCAATACATAAAAATTAATATTGCTTTTAAACTGGAATTGGCTCTTCCCATTAGAAAAGGATTTTTGAATTTATGAATAACAAATATATTGAGTCTTTCTGAAATTTAGGATCATACAAAAGACTCTTGTCTGTTCTAGGCTGAGATCAATAACCAAAGCCTTTTCTATATAGAAATTCCAAAGTGACATAAAATTTAACAGCACAGGTCCAAAAACATTTTTCTAAATATTCCCTGAATTTCAATATTAAAAACAAAAAGTTCCTATATTTATGTCCATCCATCTATCTAAATCAGGAACAGGACACTTAAAAATGTAAAGGCCAAATCAGGATGATAATAGTGGAATATTTGACATAACAATAACAGCTTCTTATATTGTTTTTATCCTCGCATAGACTATTATATTTATCACTGTGTTACTAGGTATATAATGTTTGAATGTTACCTGAAAGTAAGTTTATTGAATTTTTAGAAATTAATATGATATGTGAAGGAAATGTATACTATATGGAAATGTTTTATTTATATTTTGGAAATTATTATCTGTTCTAGATAAAATAGCACATTTGAGGAAAAATGGGAATTTGAAATATTTCTTAAGCTCTACTTCTTTTTAGTTTGATATATACCCATATACCTAAAATTTTTTGTTGGTCTTGATTTTGAGCTGTATATTCCCTTTGTGAGTATTGGGACATGGTGTATGGTTTTCTGTCTTTTCATTTAGTGTTCCTCAGCAGTCTGTTTTGGAACAATCTCAGAAGCCCATTGACATCAGACAAAGAAGTTCGCAAAATCTTCAAAACTGCCCAGCAGCTTCAGGTAATGCAAAGCACAGAGTTTAAACAGTCAAAACACAAAGCTAATGTTTAACAGTTTATATTTCAGAAGTGAAGAAAGAACTTCAAGAAGTAATGAGTCAAAAGTGTTAGGGAAGCCACATAGAATTAAGACCAAGAGGCCACTGAATTTGGCAACTGGGTGGTCAGTGGTGACATTTAGAAATGGAAAATAATTTTTCTAAAGTTTCTTCTTTAAGTTGTGTAGTAGTTAGGAATGTGTCTGGGAGCGGGTGTCAACTTTGATTTCTGTACCATGTATGAAAAATACGGGAAAGGAACTTGAGAGAGGACTAACAGGCTAAAATTTATAGGCAAGACTTTAAATATTGAAGTATTAGATAGAGTAGTTGTGGGCATGTGTTTTATTTATCCATTTATTTCACCATCCCAAAGTAAGATATATACAGCATCTCATAAACATCCTTAAATGTTACAAATTGATGTTTTTACTCAAATGCATGAAAAAGTTATAAAATCATAGAAAATAACTTCACAATTTGTGATATGAATTTCAAAAGAGGTGTTTTATCTTATGATGTGCTTTTGAGAGTTTAAATGAATAATAGATTTTTGAAATGTTAAAATAAACAGAGCCAAAAGTTAGGCTTTAGATTATAAAATCTGGCATTGTGTATTTTTAAGCAATCCAAATAAATTCAGCAAGGGCAAAATGCCTGAATGAGTTCTCGAGTCATCGAGATATCTACAATCTAAAATTGTAGAACACAGATTTTATTAAAATGTTAATAATAAAAAAGATATATAGTTGTACTCTATCAAAGTCAAATATTTCAAAGACCTGAACTTAAAACCCACATTCTTCTTGGGAGACTCAGATAATGGTAGAAATATTTTAATAGTGTCCTCTTATACAGAAATATCTTGTGAGAAATAAAATAAACCTGAAACAAAAGTAACTTTAAGAATATTTTCCCCAGAACCTTTCTGGTTTGGCTAGGACTAATTTTACTAATAGTGGGCAAACACCTAAAAATGTAAGATTTATTCATACTGCCTTTTCTGAAATAAGGAAATTTTAGATTGGTTTCCAAAGCAGTCATGAACATTGGTTGGGAGGGGGTGAGAAGGGGATAGCTTCTGTGTAGATAGATAATAACTGAAGTTCTTTTCAGCTCTAAAATTCTGTTATTTTATTATTTGTGCTACCTAGGCCATTTGAAGTTCCCATGAGATTACGTATTTTATTATGCAGGAAATCAGAACAACTTACTACAAATTTGCCTCAAAATCTCAAACACTCACCCAAACTTATTTAGCCTAACAACACACACAGGGACTTGAGAAAAAACGGTTTTCTGGAGAAAGATAATAAATCATAGAAGTGCAATGCCAGAAGTTGCATACACAAATTTTAGGATGTGTTCTAGATAATATACTCAAAAGATAGCAGTGTATGTATATACATGATTTTTGGATTGCAAGGTCTACACCTTGGCTATATATAGCAAGGCTGCAAATTAAAAAAAAGGATAGAACTATTTGTCTTTAAAATCCAAGCACATAAAAAAATAAGCAAGGATGTAAATACCCCTTGGTGAGGCTTTTTCTATGTATACTCAGCCAGATTTACTGATTTCTGACCCAAAATATTATCACTGAATTTTAACCACAGGTGTTATTTACTGTACCATAAATCTTAATATTAAAAAATCCATCCTTCTAATCCAGATACATTTGCATTTTTTAAAGATTTTTAAAAATATTTAAGTAATCTCTACACCCAGTGTGGTGCTCATACTCACAACCCCAAGATCCAAGAGTTGTATGTTCCATCAACTGAGCAGCTAGGGGGCCCTAAATTTGCATTTTAAATGGAAATATTTACACTATGGAATCAAGCTGCACATTATAACAACTAACCAAATTAAAACTGAACTTAAAGTGTCAACCCCTCAGCCACACTGGCAATATTGCAAATGCTCACTAGCCATGTGCGACTACTGGCAACTGTAGTAGACATGCAGATACAGAACATTTCTATTACTGCAAAAAGTCCTAGTGCACAACATCATTATAGAAAGATTCCTAGCTTTATAAAAAGGGTTAAGTTTTGTCTCTTTTCAGTTGTTTGCTTTTCAACTCTATTGAAATACTTCAAGATATATCATTGAGTGGAAATTAGGGGATTAAGATTGCAGGGTCAAATCTCCTCTTGAGAATTTTGTCTAATCTATCATCTTCTAATACACTTTCGGGCTCTTTTTCTACTGGTTAATATGGGAGCCCAGTGATATCACCTAGCTCTTCCGATTCTTGGTACATATTATTATTTTTTTTTAAATGCAACTGTCTACCAGTCTTACTGGGTATCTTCTCACACAGATAGAGAGAAATATTTAACAAGTGTATACTTAGTATTGAGAACAGAAAAGCCATATAGATCTACAGACAACAAAACCTTGAGCCTGTCACTCCCCCCACAAACAGAATCTAGGATCCTGGCCGCATGAGGATTTATTAGGTGATATTTCCTGAATGGAAAAAGGCAACAGGAAAAAATACCAAGTTATTAAACCTGTACACTATAAAAGTGAAGGGAATGGCTGCAATCATTGCTGTTACTAATATCTTCTTGTCATTCCACAGACTCTTCTTCTGAGGAAGAGAGTCCTGTGACCTGGAGGAGGTCCCAGTCATCACCGCCTTATTCCACTATTGATCAGAAGTTGCTGGTTGATGTCCACGTAGGTTTTCATCTTAACTCTTAACACATTTATCTGTTTTTTAAAAATGTTTTTCAACTTCTGTATTTTCATCTTCACTCGAGGGAAAGGTCAAAGTGTTCAGTTCTTTAATTAATCTTACAAAGATAGATTTCCATTGTTATGTGAGTATGCAGAATATGAAATCTAGAAATTAAATTTGAAGTGGAGAAACATTTAGTTGATCATAAAATATTTTATATTAACATTCTTTTATCAATATATTCAGAGGAGTGATAAAAAGGTCTTTGTAGAAGCTAATCTCAAATCAAGGAGTTGAAGCTAGATGTTCACTTTTCATCTAATATAATTTCTTGGATGATAACACAATGCATAAAAATAAAACATTTAGGGAGGAATAAAATGCCCTTTGATAGCATATAACATTCTTCCAATTGTTTTTGCCCTATGCTTTCAGGTCATTTCATTTTATTTTTGTAATTACTCCTACCCTACCATATACACAATCTCTTTCAGATTGCCTAAAGGTTGATTATATGACACTTACCATACTTAAAGGTAGCTTTATATTAATTTGTTTATTAGAAGTGTTTGATCTACTTCAAGACAACCTATGTACAAAACTAAGCTGGAAAATAACGTATCAATTTTAAGACTATGTGTTAATCCTAATATCAGAGAATAAAACAAAAGAAAAAAGTAACTATATCTTCTATAGAACACCAAATAATCTGTTATATTCTCTGTCACCAAAATGAAATGTCTACTCCTCAGCAGAGAAGTAGGGGTAATAAAAAAGAGTAAATCTTGCCCTGTGTGAGCCAGAAAGGCCACTAATGATCATAGCCTGAAGTTTGGGTTTTTACATCTCATCCTCACAAAAATGTTTCTTTATCTAGTGAGTAAAAATCTTCACTTCAATTGAAAATATATTTTAAAATATTGTCAGCATGGAAACTTTCCAATTTAGAAGGAAATGAAAGGCTACTGGAGACTACATTAACCTTTCTTGTGCACACAGGTTCCAGATGGATTTAAAGTAGGAAAAATATCACCCCCTGTTTACTTGACAAATGAATGGGTAGGCTATAATGCACTCTCTGAAATCTTCCGGAATGATTGGTTAACTCCTGCACCTGTCATTCAGCCACCTGAAGAGGATGGTGATTATGTTGAACTCTATGATACTGGTGCTGATACTGATGGTGATGATGCTGATTCTAATGATGCATATGAGGACACCTATGATCATGACAATGACAATGATGACTTGGATAGCAAGGTTGATCAGGCTAATGATGTTGGTGAAGACTATGAAGATAATGACAGTGATGGAGCTATTGATGACAAAGCCAATAATCATGATGATGCCCCTTGTTGGCCAAGGTTGGTTTTTCTATATTATTTGTACTACCAAAGTTTTAAAATTTCAGAACTGTTTGCACCTTTGTTTTACTTTCAGATTTTATTACCAAGAGGATGAATGAATTGCACTTGCATATTCATAAATGGTTGATTTTCAATAATAGATTTTAAATTGTTTTAATGCAAAACAATTTTGAATTTTTGTATACTATATTTTATTAGTATTCAAGTATTAAGTTACTTATAACTGCCATTTATTCATGTTTCTATTAAAATTAATGTTACTTAATGATCTTACCCTCTAAAACCACAGTGAGTATATGAAATGAGGTGACAAATAGTGTGCCACTTAATAACTGTAAGAGGAAGCCCTGATATTTGCATATAAAATCTTCAAATTTGCTGAGAAAAATGAATTGCAACCTTTATTTTTCACTTGATAATCTTAGGCTGAAATGTACTAACAGAATTATTTTTGGAATTCTGCAAACTGCTATAACTAAATTCAGTACTTAGTCAATTTTATCTTCTTACATAGCAACTGCCAGAAGTGGTAATATTTAGTGAAGTGATATTTTTGGAATGCCACCAGTTGTTTGCTATACATATACTTTCTATCTCCTGCTCTAAACAGGCCAGTGTATTCTTATTTGTATGTACATGGTTTATATTCAAAATGTTCTCAAAGAAGATTACTTAATATAGTAAATGTTTACATTTGTAGAAAAATGATTAACAGTGGGAGAATTGTTTACTTTATAATATTGAAATCCATATATTGTTTTGTTAATCTTCAAATGTTATTAGGTAAATATACATGGCAGAACTGACTACAAATTATTCAACATTTTTTTCTTTTTTGTCAATTAAAAAAAATCTACCAGGAATTTCATTGTCAAATAAATTTGCTTTTAGGATTATCATAGGTACCTGGATATGTTGTCTTTAATGCAAAAAATAATTGTGACATTTGGTAAGGTTGCTGTTTTGCAACTAAATAAATGACTACCTTATCTTAATGAGATCTATATTACTGAATTTCCTGGTGGTAGTAATAGAAAAATAAATGGGATTCTTTAGCTAAGTAGTTAATACACATGTTAGAAAATCAAGGCACATGTTAAAATTAACAGAAATTAAATAAATTGCAAAAAATAAGTATTCAATTATGTTGTGGTTGTGCCAGAAATATGGGCTTAATCATTTATGTGGCTGTGAAGTTGCAAATGCATGTAGTCTATTATTTAAGCAACCACCCCAAAATAAAACATGTTTTTGCTGCTAGCCTAACACGTGTTCCTAATAAAATATGCAAGCTCTCTTCCATCTGCAATCCATGTGCAGTCAGGAAATTGATGGTGGCTATGGTGTTAATTCAGTATTTAAGATTGACAAGATATAGGGGTATTTTTCTTGTCCATATCATACCAATAGTGTTCATATAGAGCAAAAACATTCCTAGAGATAGTACATATGTATCAGATACATCCTAATTCTGTTTTATTTGCTGACTTTCAAATGTATTTTTGTTCAGTGGCTTTCTATCATTAATTGGATCTTGTTATCAGAACAAGCTATGACAGAGATGGAAGCTGCAAGCAAGATGGTAGAGATGGAAGTGATGGTGGAGACGAGACCTGCAGCAGCTATGGAAGTCAGAGAGTCAGTAGAGGCCATGGAGAAAATGTAGCTAGTGGAGGCAGTGTAGCCATTAGAGACCATGAAGAACTTGGAGCCAATATAGGCAATGGAAGAAAAGTTAAGGAAGTCAATGGAGGTAAGGGAATCAGTGGAACCAATGAAGAAAGTGGAGCCCTTGAACTCAGTGGAGGAGAAAATTTGTCAGAGACAGATAGTCAAGGATTGGAGAGACCGACATCCCACGACTTTGAACATCAACAGGAGGTAATGCACCATTTGAAAAGGAGAAATAAAAATGAAAAGGACAATGAATTCTTCTCTTTGTAAATTTATTTTTTTCATGTGATATGTCACATTTCCAGTCATTTCAAATATATTTTTAACTTTTAACCAAAGCCCTAACCATTTTAATTTATAGCTGTAGATTTTAACTTCTTCTCATTTGGATGGTTCCTATTTATTTCCAGGGACAAAAATACATTTTTTTGTTCACCTTTATTATTCAGATTACACATTTGGGGTAGTGTCTTTTAACATATACAATTTATTTTTCTGGGAAGTTATCATTGTAAAATTTACATAACAGAATTTTCCATCTTTACTACTTTAAGTGTACAATTCAGTGGCATTAAGTACATTCACAGTGTTGTACAACCATTATTACTACTCACTTCTAGAGCTTTTTCATCATCCTAAACAATTAAATAATTAACTCCCTATTATCCCTCCTACCAGTCCCAAGTAACCTCTGTTCTACTTTCTAAGAACCTTATATATCCAGATCACACAATATTTGTCCTTTTGTGTCACATAGCATAATATTTTCAAGGTTCAACCATGTTGTAGCAAGTATCAGAATTTTCTTCCTTTTTAATGCTGAATAATATTTTATTGTATGAATATATCACATTTTGTTTATACATTCATCTGTTGATGGGCACTTGGGTTGTTTTCGCCTTTTGTCTATCATGAATAATGCTGCTGTAAACATCTGTATATAACTATGGGTTGTAGAGTGCCTGTTTTCCATTATTTGAGCTATTTACCCAGGAATGGAATACCTAAATGTAGAATTGCTAGAGTGCCATTGTTAGATTGTATTTTCACTTTTTGAGGAACTATTAACACATACAGTTTAAATGTAAGTAACATTGTGTTAGGCAATGATTTTATCATTCAAAAAACATTACTGACTTTATAAATGTGCTTAAAATACTCAAATAGTATCCAGTTTAGACTGCATCTCATTCATAGCATTTTTAAGTTTGGCCTGATTAGATCTCATTTCTGCCCTTAGAGATTCTATATTGTCACTAATGCTTTTTTCAGGCCTAGCTATTAACTTCATGATTGCTACCCTGAAGTCTATTTCTAACATCTTGCTTATATCTAAACTGTGGAAGGAGTCAAGATGACCTTCAACAGATGAATGGATAAAGATGTGGTCATATTTACATTGGAATATTACTCAGCCATCAGAAAGGATGAATACCCATGATTTGCTTCAACATGGATGGAACTGGAGGGGATTATGTCAAGTGAAATAAGTCAAGCAGAGAAAGACAATTATCATATGGTTTCACTCACATGTGAAACATAAGGAATATCATGGAGGACCACAGGGGAAGGGAGGGAAAACTGAATGGGAAGAGATCAGAGATGGAGACGAACCATGAGAGACTCTGGACTCTGGGAACCAAACTGAGGGTTACAGAAGAGAGGGGGGTGGTAACCAGGTGATGGGTATTAAGGAGGGTATGTGTGGTGATGAATACTTGGTGTTATATGCAACTAATGAATCATTGAACACTACATAAAAAACTAATGATGTACTATATGTTGGCTAACTGAACATAATTAAAATTTTTTCTAAAAAAATACTCAAATAGTTTCACAGGTGCTAGATCAATAGGAATGATCACAAAGAATATTTCCTAGAGCGTATGATATTTGAACTAATTCTTGACTAATAGGGAGTATTTGGATATCTGAAAACACAGGTGAGATTCTGGACAGAGGAAATATTGTTGCAATTTACTTTCCCAGCCTGCTACCTATCAACACAAACTGGCTTACAAGATGCCAAGTTCCTTCATGAATTAGTGCCCTTGTGTAAGCTGTACCCTCTGTCTATAAGGTTGTCCCCTCATGTATTCTCTGCTTTGTTAATTAGTTATTCTCATGATCCAACTCATATATCATCTTTAACTTTTCAAGATGGAATTATATTCTCCTCCGTTATTGAGCATTTTGCATATAGTTTCATTTTAGTACTTGTGACATAGTATTTGTTTGTTGACTTGCTTTTCTATCATACTAGATTGTGAACTCTTAAAAGGCAGGCACTAGGAGCACCTGGGTGGCTCAGTGGGTTAAGCCTTTGCTTTGGCTCAGGTCATGATCTCAGGGTCCTTGGATCAAGCTCCACATCAGGCTCTCTGCTCGGCAGGGAGCCTGCTTCCCCCCCCTCTCTGCCTGCCTCTCTGTCTACTTGTGATCTCCCTTTCTGTCAAATAAATAAAGTCTTTTTTAAAAATGTGAAAAAAAGGCAGGAACTATGTTTAATCTATTATTGATTACTTTACCCACTCACCCAATCCCAGGACCCAACCTAGGACTTCGTTTATGATAGACACAATAATTATGGAAGAAATCAATGAAGGAAGGAAACATCCTAAATAGTTTCCAATGGGAAAGCAGTATGAGTGGGAAAGTCTCTCTCTTTCTCCCTCTCCCACCCTGCCTCCCTACTTACCTATCTTAATTAAAGACTTTAAATCAGGATGTCCCATCACAGTCTTCATACCTCCCCCAGTTATCTCCAGTGATTACAAGGAATGTTTTTGATATTTAGGGAGTGAGTAGACATTCCTCTCATTTTAATTTGAAAGGACATGTTACCAAACAACACTTTTGTGGTTGGAAAGTTCATAAAAACAAGTCTTTGACAGGGCAGCACAGTTCTCTCAATGCAAAGAATCACTGTTTAGATGCAAATAAATGCTTATCAACAGACAGGCTCACCAATAACAGCTGGTATGTTTTTTCATAAGATATGGCATCCCACGTAAATTCTGTTACATTTTGTGGCTTTTATCCTTGAGTTTCTTCTATGTAAGTTAACGGAAGCCAGCTAGATTTTCAGTGAGGCAGAGTCACACCCTTAAATTTATGTTGCTTGATTTTTCCATCATTAGCTTTGTCATTTGACAAAGTAAAATTGATACCCCCAACTCTGGTGGTTTTTTATCTTTTCAAGTGGCTGTTTAGCATAGCGTAGCTGAACATTAACTTTGAAATCAGACTTTGGCTTCAAACTCTGGTTCCCCTACTTTATCTTTATGATTTAAATAAATTATTTAACTTTGCTAAGCTTTTGTTTCCTTATAAGTAAAATGGAGATAATTACACTTATTTTTTAGGTTGTTGTTAAGGATTTTCAACTTTATGTAAATAAAATAACTAGCAGTATGCCTAGTATATAATAAAAATTCCACTAACATTAGGCCCCAAATTGCCCATTTTAGGATTTTAAGCTCCTTGAATTTTACCTTTGACATCAGTTGTTTCAATATCGGTTAGTTCTCTCTCTTCTGATAACACTGATGAATTCATCTGATAAATGTGGATTTTCAAAGGATGCAGAATTATAGATGCTAAAATTTTGCATTCTGTTTTTCAAATGACCTCTAGGCATATTGTATTTCTTTCATAGTTAATCACTGAATGAAGTCAAAATTGATTTTCGATCTTCTTTTAGGAGCCTGGTGGTAGAAGCGAGGCCTCAAATGCCATTGCCTCAGGTGCTGCACTAGCAGCACCTGATGATGAGAATAACAGCATGGACATATCAGAAGCATCAACACAATCAGGTTTTTCTGCCAGCCACTCTTCTTCCAATGGTTCTGGGAAAGCTGCAAATGCTGACTTTGCCAGCGCCATCTGTAAGTGCATTTAATATAATCTGCAAATGCTGCAGTCTGTTCACACATTACAGTGTTTGACCACTGGTTTATGGTCTGAAAAGAATGAAATCATTCTGATATTTAATTAACATAAATTCAGATGGATACATGCTTTAAAAGGTATGCTCCTCACTGAGGCTTTATGGTACCTGAATTTAAACTAGAATTGAGTAATTGAATCTCTCATCTGGATTCTATTTTGCAATCTTATCACAGTAACTTGAAATATATTCATATTCAGAAATATATTTTAACCATCATGATTTGTGTTATTTGATGGTTTAGGAGTTATAGAAATGATACCTCCAATAAAAATAAAATACAATAAAGGAAAAGAAACTTTTCTGGGCTGTCTCTTATTTGTGGAAACATTCAAGTACATATGGTATATACACTAGTAATTTCTCTGAGTATCTCCCCCTTACTTCTTCACAGTGTATGCTGGATTGGTGGAAGCACCTGAGAAACCACCTAAACGACCCTCTGAAGTCAATGTTAACCCACTATATGTGTCTCCTGCATGTAAAAAACCACTAATCCACATGTATGAGAAGGAATTCACTTCCGAGATTTGTTGCGGTTCTTTGTGGGGTATGTTTGGTTTCTTAAAACTGAGTTGTTTTTTAAAAGAATATATTTTTTATCAATGCAGCAAACTTGTGAAAAATCATAGATGTAAAACACTTATTACCACATCATTATAAAACAAATAAAAATATATATTTATAGTAGCTAATTTGTTCCTTTTTTTTTTACTGATTTATTTTCACTCAGGGCAGTTTGGTGTTTGAATTTGCACTTCCTCCCCTTTTTACTGTTTTTCTTTTTAACTTGAATTGACTTGAATAAAATATAAAATTGGACTAGGTTATGATTATTTAAAAATTTTGAGCTTAGTGGGGTGTCTGGGTGGCTCAGTTGTTAGGCATCTGCCTTCAGCTTGGGACCTGATCCCAGGAGCCTGAGATCAAGCCTCATATCGGGCTCACTGCTCAGTGGGAAGCCTGCTTCTCCCTCTCCCATTCCCCCCCCCACTTGTGTTCCCTCTCTCAATATCTCTCTCTCTGTCAAATAAAGAAATAAATCTTTAAAAAACTGAGTTTAGTATTTTTACTTTAAGATGGTGTGTAGCATTTAATAACTAATGAAGTATTACAGGATATATTTCTGTATGTTCTTGTTTTTAAATAATCTTGTGGATTTGTAGAGAAAGTTCTTTCAATATTGTCTCTTTTTTAATGTTTCAAGTTCTTATCTAAACTCTAGTTAGTTAACATATAGTGTAATATTAGTTTCAGGAGGAGAATTTAGTGATTCATCACTTATATATAACACCCAGTGCTCATTACAACAATTGCCCTCCTTAATGCCCATCATCCATTTAACCCAGCCTGCTACCACCTTCTGTTAAGCAACCTTCAGTTTGTTCTGTCTCTTTTATGGTTTGCCTCTCTCTCTTTCTTTTTCATCCCCTTATGTTCATCTGTTTTTTTTCTTAAATTTCACAAATGAGTGAAATCATATGATATTTATCTTTCTCTGACTGAATTATTTCACTTAGCATAATACTCTCTAGCTCCAACTACATCGTTGCAAATGGCAAGATTTCATCATTTTTGGTGGCTGAATAATATTTCTGTGTGTGTGTGTGTGTGTGTGTGTGTGTGTGTGTGTTTATACCACTTCTTCTTTATCCATTCCTTGGTCAATGGACACTTGGGCTATATCCATAATTTGGCTATTGTTGATAATGCTGTGTAAACATTGAGGTGCATGTATCCCCTTGAATTAGTATGTTTATATTCTTTGGGTAAATACCTAGTAGTGCCATTGCTGGATCATAGGGTAGTTCTAGTTTTAACTTTTTATGGAACCTCCATACTGTTTTCTAGAGTGGTTGCACCAGACTGCATTCCCACCAATAGTAATAAGAGGGTTCCCCTTTCACCAAATCCTCACCAACATCTGTTATTTCTTGTGTTGTTAATTTTAGCCATTCTGACAGGTGTGAGGTGGTATCTTATTGTAGTTTGATTTGTATTTCCCTGATGATGAGTGACGTTGAGTATCTTTTCATGTGTCTATTAGCCATCTGTATGACCTTTGATAATGTCTTAACTTTGATAGATTTTTTTTCAGTCCTTTACCCTAGAAGAATTATAACCATATTAGTAGGGCTCAGACAATATTTTACCTCAAGCCAGTGTGAATCATAAATGAAACAGAATAAATACATGGGAGGGAAGAAATTCAAAGTAAATGCCAACCTCTGACTTGCAATTTCATAGATTTTGCTCACTGCATGTTTGAACAGAAGACAGAAATTTAAATTAAAAGTAGAGCAGTGTAGCAAACATTATAGCTATCTGATTGAATAACTTAGAAAAAAACATGTTACCATCAAAGTTACTATATTGTGGCAGATAACAAGAAAGCAGAGTTTACTGCATTATCATTTCAATCCAGCGACTACCCAGAGATCTAATTAATGTCTAATAATTCATTTTTATAACTAGTGGTTTTGTATTTTGAAAAATAAAAGATTGTAGTCAAAATTGACTGTATTTCCCCCTCCCTCTCTGATTCCTCTTTGGGAGTAAATGCAATTCCTAAATCTGCCACAAGCCTTTATTTAGAGAGCTGGTAAAGGACAGAATAGAAAAATGAAAGCAGAGACACTTGTCTTTTCTCCTTATATCTTTGAAATACAAATAGTCTCCAAGTAAAAGGAAAACACTGAAGTGTTCTCCATTATATTACTTGGCTAAGTTTTTCCTATGTCTCAGGTTATGGGGAAAACTCCCACAGTGGTGTGAAGTATATTATAATTTATCTTAATCTTCTATTTCAGCCCTCTCATTCAAACTTTTAACAGTGTTTATATTTGAATAAATAGAGCCAGCAGACAAAGAATAGAATGTAGGAATTTAGATACAGAAAAGTAGGAATTACTTTCACAGGTATTTTGCAATGTAAGTTTTTTAATATATGCATGAACAGACTCACCCAATTTAAAAATAATTTTCATATAATTACTGTAAAAGCATTAAACCCTTAGTTATAATTAAGAATGAGGAATCAACCGAACTGAATTCGTCATATTCACTAGACATCCTTTATTTAAAGGTAATTTTCAAAAAGGTTGATTGATTTTTATAAAGTTTAGGATTCTGCTAAATGGTGGTGAGATATTTATAAAGTTCTCCTTTTGAGATGCCACACCAGGCACCAGCCAGTAGTAATATTGCCAGAAGTTATTGTCTTCTACATTTTAATGTATTTCAGAGAAATTTGTTTTATTGGTAGAGTTCATTGTTACACCGTATGAGGTTAACATTAGCCTAAAGTGATATGGCATCTTTGCACAGACCAGTGCACTGTAATTGCAAAAGTGCTAATATAAATTCAATTATAAAAATATAATCTGAGCTAATATAGCACCTTTCTTTTTATATGCAAACAGGAGTGAATTTGCTGTTGGGAACCCGATCTAATCTGTATCTGATGGACAGAAGTGGAAAGGCAGACATCATTAAACTGATAAAGCGAAGACCATTCCGTCAGATTCAAGTTGTAGAGCCACTCAATTTGCTGATTACCATCTCCGGTTTGTTTAAGAACTAAAATTAGCTAAGTAATTATGTAGATTAATTAGGTTCCAAACTAGGCTAAAGACTTTCTTAGGTAAAAGTTTTCATAGGAAAGCACTTGAAATATAACCTTAAATTGGGACACCAAACTTCCCTACTTATGTTTTCTTATATATTTATAGTTTATTTTTTTTATTATGTTCAGTTAACCACTGTATAGTACATCATTAGTTTTTGAGGTAGTGTTCAAAGATTCATAAGTTAATCATAACACCCAGTACTCATTGTAACACGTGTCCTCTTTAATACCCTTAACCCTGCTACCCCTTCCCTTCGCAACCTTCCCCTCTGAAACCCTCAGTTTGTTTCCTGGGGTCCATAGTCTCTCATGGTTCATCTCCTTCTCTGAATTTTCCCCCTTCAGATTTCCCTCCTTTCCCCTATGGTCTTCCGCACTAATGCTTATATTCCACATATGAGTGAAACCATATGATAATTGTCTTTCTTTGCTTAACTTACTTCACTTAGCATAATCCCCTCCAGTTCCACCCTTGTCAATAAAAACGGTGGGTATTCATCCGTTCCGATGGCTGAGTAATATTCCATTGTATATACAAACCACATCTTCTTTACCCATTCATCTGTTGAAAGATATCTCGGCTCCTTCCACAGTTTGGCTGTTGTGGCCATTGCTGCTATGCACATTGGGTGCATGTGACCCTTCTTTTCATACATCTGTATCTTTGGAGTAAATACCTTGTAGTACAATTGCTGGGTCATTCTATTTGCAGTTTAAACTAACTTCTCACTCTCCTTTGGTGTCTGGATATTTGATTTTGATGCACCTCACCTAGGTTATTTGATAAGAGAAAAAAACATGTCATTTACATCTTTCAGGTCTTTTCTGAGTATCCACCTGCAATTTTACAACTCACAATTTCACCCACCCATGTGCAGATGACCACATCCATCATATACTTTCTTGTAATGTGCTAGAAACAACAAAGAACAAAGTAGACAATAATTGGATAAAAATGAAACTCTGTTGTCCCTGACAGCACTGTATCATGAGTACCTACAGACAGGATTAGTAACGAGAATGGATACCCTAAGACCTCCACCTTCCTCCCACATAGTAATTGAACTTCTTAGTTTTGGTCAGCCAGAACCTGAATCTCTGAATACGAGAGAGCAAATAAACAGATGTTAATAATAATTGTCATTAGTAAACATTACCTGGTATTAGAAAACATTAGTACTGAAGTCAACTATAGGCAAAAGACAACTGACAAAAGGATAGAAAAAGTTAAAAAAATGGTTTAACTGTAGAATAAAATGATGCTAATTTAAAGTTATTTATATGTGTTTGCATGTTTCCTGTCTATACCTAATAGCTATATGGCACATTAATTAATGATTATGTATATACCTAAAAATTATTAACTTTGCTTTAAGTTTTGGTTAGGGGAGAAAATCCTCTATAGATATGCTAAAGCTTCATGATTTTTTATCATGTTTCATTTTATTCATTTATAATTGTTTGAGGTACACAGATGTAATATTTAGATTTTGAAAACATCTGGGTGGCTTAGAGACTGCACATCTGGATAAGATCTCTTTAATTTTTATCCAGCTTTCTCTAACCCAAATGTGCCCTTTTTAATGCTCAAATTTTTGTCAAATGTGGATTATTTTTGCATCAAATAACACTGAGAACATCAGTGTAGAAAGATACCTAATAGTTTAGAGTGCAAATTTATTCTACCACTTAAGATTAGAATGGAAATACACATAGATGTCTGAATTCTAATTTTGCTTTAAAAATGTCATGTAAAAACATATATAAAATTAATCACATAAGTAATAATCTTATTGTTAAGCCTAGAAATTTTGTAACAATAAACTGTAAAAAAATGAATACAAAGTCACTACATATGAAAACAAATGTGTAATTCGATGGCTTGTTTTTCCTGAAGGAATTGTAAGAATTTGCTGGGGTTTACAATTACAAAATTAGCAACAAAGATAAATTTGATTGAGAAAAAAATAATAAAGCTTTATTTTTTAAGTGTGATGGAATGAAAGAGCACAAAGAGACCCTTCCCACTAGCCCTCTATTCCTAGCAGTCAATACATCAGACATCCGTCTCATACATACATACTACCAAGAACAGCTTCTGGGTCTCCGAATCCCAGAGGGATCATGACTTAGATAAAAGCCAAAGTATGAATGAATGGATGGTAATTCTGTTGCTGTACCATGGCAGTCTTATCCTGTCTCAAAGAAGTATTTTACTTCTCTTCAGACAGGCACATAGGTAGCTAATAGGCATTTTGACTATCTCTTGGAAGTGAGAGGCTAACAAAGACTTTGCTATCATATTTTAAAACTCCGAAGGGAAGAACCTAGTAGTGTAGTTTTTTCTAAAAGTGCTTTCTACTTTAATGAGAATATTTAGTTAAAAGGACCAAATACATTTATTGTTTTGTTTTTCTAATATATGAAAAAAATAGACTGAATAAAAACACTCCATCTTATCTATCAGGCCATAAGAACAGACTTAGGGTGTATCATTTGACCTGGCTGAGGAACAAGATTTTGAATGATGATCCAGAAAGTAAAAGAAGACAAGAGGAAATGCTAAAGACAGAGGAAGCCTGCAAAGCTATTGATAAGTTGACAGGATGTGAACACTTCAGTGTCCGTAAGTCCGATTTTATGTTTACTATAGCTATATAAAGTTTGCTTTCTTTCGGTTAGTGAAGTACATTACCGTGAGAGGCAAAGTAGATAATGAAAATAATTTGCAACTTCCTATACAAAAATGAGTGAATTTCACTGAAACATTTTCCAGGTCCTCTATGCCACAATCATAGTTGTTGAGAAAATATCGTTTAACTTAAAAAGCTATTGAAGTTTGGTTTACTTTCTTACCTTTCTCCCCTTCCCAGTCACTCTCATTGTCCAGATAAATTGATACTTCTTTCTTGCTTTATATAACTCCAACCATATAAATGTTCTTGATGCACCTTCAATAACCTGCAAGGAGATGCATATGATATTATCTTTCCTTGGAACAGCTGTAAAATAGAATTACATAATAATTCCACTTTCTTAAATTGGAAATTTTATCTTAATAGTGACCAGGAAGCTTTGCAATGAATCCAAAAGAAAATTCTTTTTTTTTTAAAGATTTTATTTATTTATTTGACAGACAGAGATCACAAGCAGGCAGAGAGGCAGGCAGAGAGAGAGAGGAAGGGAAGCAGGCTCCCCGCTGAGCAGAGAGCCCGATGCGGGGCTCGATCCCAGGACCCTGGGATCATGACCTGAGCCGAAGGCAGCGGCTTTAACCCACTGAGCCACCCAGGGGCCCCCCAAAAGAAAATTCTGTGGTCTACTGGCTCTTGCTCCCACTGTCAATATTCATGAGTATAATTGCTATGTATTTTCTGTCTAATTAGTGTTTTTTCTTATGTCCTATCTGTTTACAACCATTCACTACAAAATGAAGTCATAGCTCCATGGTCTCAGAATCCGTCTCTCATTTGTCAACAACTAGAAAGTGATATTATCCCATTCTATTCTGTTTCTGAAGCAAATCCCCTCTATTATCAGCCTTTGTTTTCTTCTTTCCTATTCATTAATTACCCCTTCAGACAGAGCCACTGGCATAGGTAAGAGATAGTTGGAATCACATAATATGAGTTTTAGCAGGTTATTGTTATTCTGACTGATCATTTCTGTTTTGCATATAAGGGCTTTTCCAGAATAGATTTCTGCATCTGTGTATATAAGTACTCATACACCATTAAAAGGAGAAATGAGTACCCAAACAAACCAGGAATTAAATAAATACACTACTTTCTTCTAGTTTTATGTATCACTGCTCTCCTCCAAATCATATGTATTTGGTAGCCAAAGATGAAAGAGATCCCCAGATGTTAAACAAGGAGTTTATATAGCAGAACTGCCTTCCTCTTATTAACTTGTAAATTTTTTAATTCAATAAGAGTTTATGAAAATGAATTATAATAATATCTTACTGTGTTCTTGCTAAGGAGATGGACTAGTTAAGATGTGTTTTCCTGGCTGTCCCCATTCTAGCCCTCCCCACCTCTTATAACAACCAGAAACCTTTGTCTACTGGCAGGTGAAACAATAGCATCTTCATACAGTAAGACAGCCATGTACTCATACTTGCATGGAGTTTTCATAGCCTTTCAAGATCCATAAAATAATTGATTGACACCAATTACTGCCATGTATTAAAATTATAGGAAATGTTAGTTTAACAGAAAATTTCTTTGCTTATTGGAGGTTAATTAATCATGCTTCTTTGACCGGCTTGGGAACAGTGTAAAAGAGAAAGATAAAATAACTAGAATCAGAGAGAGAGAGAGAGAATATGAATAAGAGAAGGGGGATAGAAAGAGAAGCCTTATATTTGGTCTTTGATGAAATCTGACTAGAAAGGACAGAAGCAATGTTTCTGCCAAGGAAGAAGGGTTTTGGTACAACATATAAATCTAGCAAGTAGGCCAACATATTCCATAGGAATCAGAAAGTCTATATGAGAGAAAGCATATACTTCTTATTCTTTTTTCTCTTTTCTTTTTAAAAAACACCTGCATTGGAATAATTTATATATCAAAAATGTACCCATTTAGAAGTGTACAATCAATGGTTTTTAGTATGTTTATGGAGTTGTGTAAACCATTATCATAATCCCATATTCATTATCCCAAAAAGAACCGCCATAGCCATTAGCAATCACTCCACATTCCACCCCTCTTAACATTCACCTTATTCTCCTCACAGTCCTAAATAACCACTGATCTACTTTCCTTTGCTCTATTTTTTTTTTCCTTTTCTGGACAGTTTATTTAAATGGAATCATACATGGTCTTTGTGATAGACTTCTGTCACTTAGTATAACGTTTTCAAGGTTCATGCATGCTCTAGCCTGTATCAGTACTTGCTTTTTCTGCTGAATAGTATTGCATTGCATAGATACACCTTTTGTTTATACAATTTTTATATATCCATTGTTTATATATATTTCCTTTCTCTTGGATAGTACTGCCACACTGTTTTTCCAAGTGGCTGTGCCATTTTACATTGCCATAAGTATGGAGACTCCATTTTCTCTTCATCCTTGCCAACATTTGTAGATGTCTGTCTTTTGATTCTAGGTATCTAAGTGGGTGTGAAGTGGCATCTTATTGTAGTATTGATTTATATTTCCCTGATAGCTAATGTTGTCAAGTATGTATGTATGCATGTATGTGTCTTCTATCTATCTATCATCTATCTATCTATCTATCTATCATATTTTTATTATTGAGTTGTAAGCATTCTACATATTCTGGATCCTAGGAGCTTATCAGATATATGATTTTCAAATATTTTCTCCCATTTCATAGGTTATCTTTTCATTTTGACAGTGTCTTTTGATACTCCCAAATTTTAGTTTGGATGAAACCCAATTTATATTTTTTTTCTCTTGCTGCTTATGTTTTTCATGTCAAATATAAAAATCCATTGCCATGAATATCTATCCCTATATATGCCATGAATATCTACCTCTATATATGCTTCTCAGAGTTTTATAGTTTTAGGTCTTTGGCCCTTCTGAATTAGTTGCTGTATATGGTGTGAGGTAAGAGGTTCAACTTATTCTTTTGTATGTGGATATTCAGTTGTCCCAGTGCCATTTGTTGAAAAGAGTATTCTTTCCCAACTGAATGGTCAGGATACCCGTTGACCATAAATGTATGGGTTTATTTGCAGACTCCCAGTTCTAGTCTGTTGATCTATGTGTTTATCCTTATCTCAGGACGACACTCTTTTGATTGCTGTAGCTTGTAGTAAATTTTGAATTTGGGAAGTATGAGTCATCCAACTTTGTTTTTCTTTTTTCACAATTATTTTGGCTATTTGGAGCCTCTTCCAATTCCATATGAATTTTAGGATCAACATTTCCCTTTCTGCATAAGAGGCCATTGGATTTTAATAGCAATTGCATTGAATCCATAAATCATTTTGGGTAATACTCTCCTGTTTTTGAAATACTGACATTTTTATTATTTTATTTATTTAGTGACTTAAAGCAACAGTGATTTATTTTTTTCTCGTAAGTCTTTGAGCTGACCAAGGCTCAGCTGAATTTTTTAAATATAGTTGATACCTAATGTTACATTAGTTTCAGGTGTAAAACATAGTGCTTCATATTCTGTTTGTTATGCTGTGTTCATCACAAGTGTAGTTAACATCTGTCACCATACAACGTTATTATAATATCATTTATCGTATTCCCTATGTTGTACCTTTTATTTCCATGATTTATTCATTCCCTAACTGGAGACTTATACCTCCCACTCCCCTTCACCCATTTTGCCCATCCTCCACATGCTTTCCTTCTGGTAACTATCAGTTTGATCTCTGTATTTATAGGTCTGATTCTTTTTGTTTGTTTATTCATTTTGCTTTTTAGATTACACATGAAGTCATAAGTATTTGTCTTTCTCAGTGTGACTTATTTCACTTAGCAGAATGCCCTCTAGGTGGGGCGCCTGGGTGGCTCAGTTGGTTAAAGCCTTTGCCTTCAGCTCAGGTCATGATCCCAGGGTCCTGGGATCGAGCCTCGCATCAGGCTCTCTGCTTAGCAGGAAGCCTGCTTCCTCCTCTCTCTTTCTGCTGCCTCTCTGCCTACTTGTGGTCTCTGTCTGTCAAATAAATAAATAAAATCTTAAAGAAAAAAAAAAGAATACCCTCTAGATTCATCCATGTATTGGCCTCTTAACAATGTTAAGTCTACCCATCCACTAACAGAGGAAATCTTTCCATTAATTTAAGTCTTCTTTAATTCCCTTCAACAACGTTCTATGGTTTTCAGTGTATAGAGTGCTCTTAAAGGCTAATACATACACTTCATAAGACTAGATAGTTTTGTCACTTTTTGGGGTCATCAAATTGTAAGTAAATAGCTTTTCTAAAAATATATGATCTGCACTCTTATGTTGTAGTTATGATATTTTTCATGACTAACACAAATACTACAGTGTTCTTGTTAACTCTGTGGCATTGTTACTTCTCTGTATTTTATCATTGTAGTTCAGCATGAAGAAACAACATATATTGCAATTGCTTTGAAATCATCAATTCACCTTTATGCTTGGGCACCAAAGTCCTTCGATGAAAGCACTGCTATTAAAGTAAGTGGTCTCCTTCTTCTTTGGATCATATGGTTTTTCTTTTGAGAAATTGTAAACAGAGAAATATTTTGAAATACAGTAGCAAAAATGTATACCATTCTTCTACAGTTAATGTAATGTAACTATACCATGTCAATAATTATCATTTAACCCTTTATTAGATAATTCACAGGCACCACAGCAAGGGAGAAAGTGAGGGAAATCCCTGATCCCTCCCCTTAAAGGACCTCCCTACCAGCTCCTCACTCCCAATTCCTGTAGTCAACATGAAGACCTTCTCTTCTAGAGCCCCAAACACAGCCTTTCGGTGCCACCCCAATGACTTGAAGCTAAGAAAGTCCCTGTTCTCTCTTAGTGGGGGGTGGAGAGCAGAGGGAAGGTAAGGAAAGGTGTGGCAATGGCAGAAGGTGGATCCCCATTGGAAGAGGAATGAGGGAAGAGAAAGCCTTTGCTCTAATTACCAGGGCTACAATAGATGGGGGTGGGGAGGAAAGGGAAGGGTGGGTCTATATTTCTTCCAAGCTGGAACTCTAAACACATTTCTCTCCAGAACTATTACAAGGAATGGTGGTTAGGCTTATTTGGATTACCAGTAATATTTCCACCTTTATTATGGTTTAACTGAACTTCTATGGATCAGCCTCTTAAGGTAACCAGTTGGTGTCCCAAACAGTTAAGTTGCTAATGACTTTTTAATCTCATCTCATAAGCTGGGGATTCTTTTTATCTTTCTTATTTTTAATAATACTCCAGAATTCTATGTCAATAGGATTATTTTGTGTTTATTCCATAACAGTGAGGACTGATTAATGAACTGGGAGCATTATATAGAGTCCAGTAACTCCTAATCTGGAGTGTACATCAGAATCATCTGGAGCATTTGTTAAAAGTTTAGATGTCAGACCCAACCCCAGGCTGAATTAGTAGGTCTGGAGTATGGCCTGGGAATCTATATTTTTAGCAAATGTTCCAGTTGGCTTTGAACTAGTTGTTCCATGGACAAGTTTTTACAAAGCACTGATTAAGGACACATCACAATAGACTCCAGCAAGGTATTTATGATATATTTTTGTATCTTAGGTCAAGGTCTGCTTACATGCTATATTTTGCAGCCAAAACATCAAATGTATGCAGTAAAGATGGACTAATTTTTATGACTACCTCTCGATGTCTATTTGTACAATAAATATGTTTGTTTTTAAATAGCACAGACTACGATATAGACAGTCTGTGTCTGACACAAATTATATCTCTGATCTGATCTCCCTAAATTGGGCCTTGGGTCAGCTCTCCGTATTTGGATATGGGTTTGTTCTTGGCTGTCTGCTGATTGGTCAGAGCTGCCTGATATGGAGCTGGAAAATAAAGAAGATAAGTACCAACACTCTGTCTAGATTGATATACAGTTTCTGGTCTAAGTCCTTCCTCCAGTTCTTGAATCTCACCTCATGACTACAATATGGTGAATCCTGTGATGTCCAGTCCTCTACTGTGACCTGAACTTGGCAATGAATCCTGTTTGGCTTTTTATTTCCTTGGACTAGGAACCATAGGAGCCTAGAGTACATCCAGTCTATGGTAGGTTAACATGTCTGGCCTTTTTCATTCCCTACCAAGTATGCATTGATCAATCAGCAGACTCTGAAGGAGACTACATGTCCTATGAAGCCTATATACGAATACTGGCAAAAATACAGGCAGCTGATCCAGCGAACCGGTTTAAGAGACCAGATGAGCTCCTTCATTTGCTGAAGCTCAAGGCAAGGAATTTAAAGACAACAAACAGAGTGATGAGCCATACAAGGTTCTTATGATCATTGGAGATCCGGCCTCTGAAGGGAAACTCAAAATTTAGAACCTGAATATAATTATGTTCTTTTTTTTAAAAGACTGTATTTATTTATTTGACAGAGAGAGACATAGCAAGAGAGGGAACACAAGCAGGGGGAGTGGGAGAGGGAGAAGCAGGCTCCCCACTGAGCAGGGAGCCTGATGTGGGCCTCAATCCCAGGATCCTGGGATCATGACCTGAGCCAAAGGCAGATGCTTAACGCCTGAGCCACCCAAGCACCCTATAGAACCTGAATATAATTATGTTCTTGGGGTAGTAACAGACCTAAGAAAAAGTTATAATATAGTCTAAATATATTGTGTAATTTAAAGAATCAACCATGGTTTTATAAACCTGTTAAACAAAAGAGCAGGGGGAAGTTTTGCCTTAGAGTGTCATTTTTGGCCTTTTGGCCATATTTGGTTTTATATCTACAGGTGTTTCCAACAGCTTGTCATAAGCCAGTGACAGTTGACCTGGCTATTGGTACTGAAAAAAGACTAAAGATTTTCTTCAGCTCAGCAGATGGATATCACATCATTGATGCAGAATCTGAGGTTATGTCTGATGTGACTCTGCCAAATAACGTAAGATCCCTAGAAATAATTGTACACCATAATTTGAGTTTTTCCTATTGTCAAAACTCTTAAAGGTTTAAAAATATGATTATTAATATCTGTACTGGAACTGAAACCTAAAAGGTAAGTATAGAGTGTCAGAAAGTAGTAAGGGATAAGCAGAAATGACTGATGGTTTCTTAGTCCAGACAGCTAAGTCTATTCTTCAGATAGATTTTGTTTGTCTGGCACAGTTTTTTTGTTTGTTTTTAAATGAATTGAGTGTACACCTAAAAATCTGGACTTCTGTTGATGAAACAAAAGAGCTGATAACATCTGGCCATTATTACTATCTGGCCATTATCAACTGGAAATGAGTCATGCCTGCCCCCTTTTATTTAAATTTTTTTTATGCCTGCCCTCTTTCGGATGGATTATATACTACATATTGTGTATCATTCACCTTTATATATTTATAATAACCAGTCTTAGTAGATGAGTGAGTTTGCAATCTTTCCTTTCAGTCTTTCTGCACCCTATAATATATAAACAGATTCTTTAAAAATTACACCAGTATTGCAGCATTATCATCCTCCTTCTTTATCCAAATTGTAGAACTTTAACCATGATATATAGCAAATTATCATAAAGTGTTCTCTTATAGTATCAATTATGGTTAGACTTTCTGATCAAAGGATTCAGCATTTTAAAAGCTAATGCACTTCAGCTCTTAACTCTTAAATGATTATAAATAATAACTATGGCACAATATCTAAAATATGGATAATTATAAAAATAGTATATATATCATTTATATAGAGTTCAAACATAATACCTCATATACACATGCACCATACAAAATATAATTCTACTGTGTCTCAGATTTGATGGTAGCAATGATGTTTGTTTTATGGAAAATGATGTTTAAAAGAAAGGCCTGAACCAACAAACCCCTCTTCACCCTTTTTTAATTCCCCAGTTTGTTGACAACTAACATTTCAGTAGTTTAGCATTATATAAAGTCAAGAAGAAAACTTTTAAGTACTTTAAATCACTGTAGTAATGTGATATTTTGCATAGCTTTCAGATTGTCTCATAAATCTCTGACAAATTCCATAGAGCAATTGTCAAACAATTAGTGGAAACATTAAAAAATTTTTGGTCATATTAACAATACAATTAACTCATAGTTCAGTTGTCATCTATGAGCATATAGAAATCACCCTGTTTATAATGTAGAAAATGTTTAACTGAGCCCAGCCAAAGCCACTTAGATATGAGTTCAGATTAATATTAATATAAATATTATAGTACTTTTCAGTTGGAGTGTTCCATAGCTTCCTGCATCTTATTTTTTTTTTTATGTAATGGCTGATAACCTTTATTTTGAAGCTAGTTCCATATTAAATATTGCAATATCGGTCCAAATTTATACTTATTTGAAACATCACTCAAGAAGATTGCACTCTGTATTCCACTTGATTACCAAGCAAGGAGAATTATTTCCTTTTGAAGCAATCAGTTCATTATCACAGAAGCAAGAATGAGAGATCGGTTTTTTAAAAAAATATATTTTCTGACCTAATTAGGATAACTTAAATATATTCAAAAATAATATTTTTAGCTAAATGCCCTAGTGTACTGACCCATTAAAAGAGAAAGAACTCTAATAAAAGGGAGGAAAGTGTCTTCTGAAACAGAATGTACTAAAAATGATATTTTTCCAAGAGTGCCAGATTATAAAACCTGTAATGCTACAAGGGAGCCATGTGTGCTAAAGAATATCTGGTTACTGCTGGAATCATCTGAGAAACAAGGAATTACCTCTGGGGCTTTCTTGATTTGCAGCAGTCCAGCTTTATTCTAAACAGATTCTTTTTGAGGCAATCTTTTTCTTGCAATTTCTTTTTCTCTCTTCCTTCATCTCTTTTCTGATTCAATTGCTCATGCAAGTGCACAGGGAACGTATTAAAATTGCTTTTTGCCTCTGGATCCCCATTTTAGTTTTAAGGATTGTTGTTGCTGAGACATGGCCTCAAGCACTTGGCCTGAGTACGCTGGGTTTGGCAAGTATAGTTTCTGACCTTTTTTTTCTTGTAACTCGCTAATTTAGAGAAATAATAAAGGAATGTAATTGTTAATTTCTCAGGGAAATACTATTGATATGGCAATTTCTGTAGCCTAAGTAAATTTTGTCACATTGTTTTATGCATCATAAAATTTACAAATTCTTATACATTTCTTAGTATTTGATACTATGTTACCTAATACAGCTCTGTATTTATATATTGAAGACATTTAGTGATTTATAAATTAGATTAAAAAGCTTGCATTTTTTGTGAAGGGAGAATGACTGTTATATTTCAAGTAGTGATAAATATTTTAAAGTTGCCCCTTATAAACATTTTAAGCTCAAGCTATTTTTTAAAAGATTTTATTTATTTATTTGACAGAGAGATAGAGAGCACAAGTAGGCAGAGCGGCAGGCAGAGGGAGAGGGAGAAGCAGGCTCCCCGCCGATCAGGGAGCCAGATGTGGGACTCGATCCCAGGATCCCGGGATCATGACCTGAGCGGAAGGCAGCCGCTTAACTGACTGAGCCATCCAGGCACCCCAAGCTCAAGCTATTTTTAAATTAATTTTCTATTTCTGATTTAAATGAATTGGGTAACTAGTGCTTGTGTATTTGTTAGTTGGTTCGCATATTCATCGCTGAATTATTCATTAATGTGCTGAAATGAATCTGAAGTCCCACTCTGTAACAAGTAATGTTTCTTCTATCATTATACACATTTTGTTAAATTTCAACAAATTTTTCTCTGTTGGAAATGTATCTCTGTTTTATTCAAACAAAGTTTTCTCCTAAATATAAAGGACACTATTAATCAGTAATGCCTTTATGACATACAAAAAGCTCTTTTCAAGTGTTGGATAACATGTTATTTAATATTAATATAGAAGTTTCTCTTTCTCCCTGCGCTTCAAACTCTTTTTTGGTCTTTATTGCTCAGCCAAGCTGCTTCAGTTAAAGTAGTAGTAATAAAATGTTGGACATATAAATCTTTATGAAACATAATTCCAGCCCCTGGAAATCATTATACCACAGAATATCATCATTTTACCTGATTCCTTGGGAATTGGCATGATGCTCACTTTCAATGCTGAAGCCCTTTCTATGGAAGCAAATGAACAACTCTTCAAGAAGATCCTTGAAGTGTGGAAAGACATACCATCTTCAGTAGGTATGTACAAAAGTTTTTCTCTTTTATATGATCTCAGAGAAAGTTCTGTTTTCTGAAATATCATATTTTCTCAAGGCATATCAGCTTAATTTAGGATACTGTATACTTATTCCCTTAGTAAGGTGTGTATGTCCACCATATGTTAAATAAACTCACAAGGCTACCACAAAGAGATTAATTTTGACTGTCTTAGTTGTTCATGTGAAATAGTAATATAATTAAACTAGGGAAGGAATTCCTTTCCACAATAATTTGTAATTTTATTTTAACTCCCTTTGTTTAGACATTTTATGCAGATGTTGGAAATGGTCCTCACCCTGATCTTTGGGGTTTACCTTTATCTTAGGAGACTGCCAAATAATCATAAAAGAAGAGCAGAATATTTCTATTTCATATAGTAAATAGTGTTTTATTTAGAGAGTGATAATCCTGTGAAGAATCAAATACAAACTAAGTATGTGACATTTTGGTTGTCACTAGGATTTCATCATTCTTCATTTACAAAAGAGGTAAATATGACTGTCTGGAATACCTATTAGGTACTATCCAGATGGCAACATAAAGAAATAAAGAAAACTGCCTTTCATCTTCATCATGCCAGGACATTTTTTTTTTTCTTCTTGATGAATGCAGGACTGCTGATCTGGAAAAGATGAATAACTTGAGACTCTTGTATATGTCTCTGAGGCTTGGTGACTATAAAGGTGATTCTAGACAAGGAGCAGAATGCATATGAACAGTACAATTATTAGGAGAGTAGAGTGATTTGAGGGAGGACAAATGTTCCTGAAAAGAAGAGGGGATTAATGAAGCAAAAAAGAAAAAAGGGGAAGGAGAAGTAAAGGGAAGGACGGAGAAATAGAGGGAAAGGCAGTTTGTCTCTTAAGGACTCAAAAGCTTCTGAAATCTTTATGAAATGGCTAAATGTGTTCTCCATGCAGCTTTAAAGACCAGTTTGAAATGCTTTTTAATGAACATTTTTTTCATTATGAGATGATGGCACTTTGCATTGCATCTGCAGAATCCTTTCTTTTTGCACTCATAGTGTTAACAATGTCCTGGAAACCTCTTCCAATTTCTTCAAACAGGGAAGAACTCCCAAGGGCTTAAAACCATTTTAAGAGGCAGGGGTAAATGCTTATAATTGACAGAAAAAGAAACTGAAGATAACAAATCTTGTTCTAACCTTTACAGTGGTATTTTGTGATCAATATGTTAATCAGAAATTGAAATAAAGAAATTCAGTTCAAATGGGAAACTGAGCAAACCTCTATGTTTATGACACTAGACACTCATAGGAATCAAAGAGGTCTTGAAATGTCATCTGGTAAACTCTTGTCCTTAGGCAGAACAATTTCTGACCTAAAACAAAAAGCTATTTTAAGTTGAAAGGATTTGAAACACATCTCTCTCTATGTAAATAAATTATAGCACTATAAGAATGTGATATTTTGGTTTGTGTATTAAGGATATTTTGAGAATATACTAAGGACTGTAGTGTAACATTTATATTAAGGAAATCAATTTCCCTTTCTGTCTAAAAACAACTGCTTTGCTATTTAAAACTAACCTAGATCCAGATTTCCCCAATCTAAAATTTATATTTCTTGAGATATAATAGATATTTTCAATAATAAGATCATTGCTTTGTATTTTCAAACAAATATATAGAAGCATAGCAATCACAGCAGGTGTCACTAAGCATTCTCATTCCAAATCATTGGATCCCACTTCATAAGCAAGCTAACTCAGTTGCTAGGTTAAATGGCAAATTAATGTTTTTCAGAATTAAAGTAGAAATTACATGATGTCATATGAAGAGTGTGTTTGGACTCAGCAAGTATTAAATTTAGAATTTTTTGCTCTGTGTGGTTGTTGACAAAATACCAATTTTAATGAAGTATTCACATAGGTGATAAAAATAAGTGAAACCGTATGTTAATTGACTTTCTTTGTTTGACTTACTTCACTCAGCATAATCTCCTCCAATCCCATCCATGTTGATGCAAAATTTGGGGGAATGGGTGAGCCTGGTGATGAGTATTAAGGAGGGCATGGATTGCATGGAGCACTGGGTGTTATATGCAAAGAAGGAACCACGGAACTCTACATCAAAAATGATGTACTGTGTGGTGACTAACATAACACAGTAAAAAATATTGATATTATTTTAAATACAGGATTGAATTTATTTATGGAAATTTACTTTCCTATGAAGTACAGGGAAAAAAATCAACTTAAAAGTTAAACATTTAATGATAATACTGCTCCCTGTGTCAGAAAATACCTCACAGAATCAGCTGAGTATGTGGCTATTTACATAATTAGGTTTTCTACTTTAAGGCAATTGTCATTTTTTTTTAATTGAAGCGTAGTTGACATACAATGGTATATTAGTTTCAAATACACAACATGGTGATTTTATAATTCTATGCACTATTCAATGCTCACCATGATAAGTGTAGTCACAATCTGTCAACATCCATTTGTCATAATCTTTATTGTTACCATGTAGGTGACACAAGGTCCAAAAGTTGAAATCTTAATAAAATTTCCTTAGTCAGACTCAGCCTAAACAGTATCAAATTAGGTTTAGTTCTGCTTATAATGTGGTCATTCATTGACTTGAATTAGAGTTGCTAAAGTCATTATCTGAACAAGTCATTTTTAACAGTTTTAATTTTGAAGTTAGTTGGGTTTTTATGTATGTCACTTGAGCACAAATACAAACCCTTATGAAATGCTTTACCTCAACTAAACTGGAAAATAAATGGCTGTTGGTGGATTTTACTCTCTACAAACAGGGTAAAATTAATGCTTATCTTTTCCTGTGGTGTTAGAGAATAGGAATATAAATACAAATTAAGATCCAGTTATTCACTGTTGATCACAATTGTAACAGTGGATAGCTTGCTTGAATACCACTGCTGAGAAGCGTAATGGTCAAATGATTAACTGTAGAAGGAGGAAAATCAGAATATGTTTACCTGCACTGTAATAATGAGCATCTTAATAATCAAATGTTGACTGTGGTTATAATTTACTATTACTAACAGAAAAAATTGTATTTTTCTGATTTTTACATTTTTCCTGTAGCTGTTGAGTGTACACAGCGAACCACAGGATGGGGCCAAAGGGCCATTGAAGCCCGCTCTTTGCAGTCAAGAGTTCTGGAAAGTGAACTGAAGCGCAGGTCAATTAAGAAACTGAGATTTCTGTGTACCCGAGGTGACAAGGTATTGTTTATATCTCCTAGTTAAAGCAAAAATAAAGCAGGCAATGAAAATTAAGTAAGAAAATCCTTTTCCTAAAAAAAAAAGAAAGAAAATCCTTTTCCTTTGGCCATAAATATATTTGTGGTATAATTCCCAAATTGGCAAACTATTGATAAAAACAAGTTTTTATTTTGCAGTAGAATATCCCATTTTACAGGAAAGAAAAATAAATTGAGAGTCAATTATTTGTGTAATATGATCAGTTTTAACAACCAATTCAGATAGTTTCAATGGAAAATATGCTTTGTATGAAATCATTGCAGTCTCTACATACAATGAGAAATAATAGCATGAAAATATAATCCTGATAAAACTAGGAAACATCCACATTTTGAAATGATTGCAGAGGATTCAAACTAACACCAAAACAATCAGGGTAAAGAATTGTGCATGAAGAAAAGTACTGGTTTGCAGTATGAAGGGATACAATGGGAAGAACCAGTGTTCAAGGTCAGATAGACTTAGCATGCAGTCCCGACTCTGTCACCTAATGAGGTGTAAGAACCTGGAAATTTGATTAATCTTCTTGAGTCATAGTTCATTCATCTCCAAAATGAAAATATTAATAACTCCTCTGGTAAAAATTTTGAAAATTAGTGATAATGTATATATAGTAAGCGTCTCACAGACTACCTGGCACATAAAATGTGTTAAGTCAAGGGTAGCTAGGGTTATCATTGTTATCATCATCAGTATCAAAACCCTTCCAAGGATATTCATTGTGGATGTGGAAAACCTTACTCCTAAAAAGGAGGCCTCTGTTTGCTATTTATGTTCATGCTCTGTTTTAATTTTCTTTAAGGCACAGACCATTATCATAAGACATGTTCCTCTCTAAGCTGGTTAATTTAACTCAATATCATTCTATTGATGTCAGCCCATTTCACTGAAATAGAAAATCCCTCACCAAGTAGAAAATTTCAGTGGCCTCTTAAATACCAGCAACAATGGTAAACAACATCAAATAATTTAATCATTTCCTTATACTAAAAAATAAAGTAAAGCCAACTTGAGTAAAATCAGATTTTTTTAAACCAAATGGAATCCTTAAACAAAACTAATCAAGAATGTCCACAGATGAGTGCCACACCAAAACTTAATTTTATTTAAACCATATGAAGTACCATTATATAGAATATGGTATGATTGTTTTTTAATATATAATTTAGATTTCATACCAATTTAAAGTCTTATTCTTTCAGTAAATCCTGTTCAGTAAATAGTATGGCTTAATAGTTTAATTGGTTAATGTGGAATAATTGAAATTATAGTTCTATCTGTCATGTATCAGGTTACAAGATATTAAATATTTACTGATGGTGTCTTTTTTTCTCTTTTTAAAGCTGTTCTTTACCTCTACCCTGCGTAATCGCCACAGCCGGGTTTACTTCATGACCCTTGGAAAACTTGAAGAGCTCCAAAGCAATTATGGTGTTTAAAAGGTTCCAATGATTTATTACAACATTTACAAACATCATAAATATACAATTTACATCTTAAAATTTCTGAGATTAAATAAACATTCAGTTTTATTGTTAGGGAAAAATTAAATCAGATACTTAACTTTTAATGTAGCACAAAATAGTTCTAATGAGAAATGCATCTTTATATATAAAATTAACTATAGCAAGCTCTATGTACTCCAATGGTGTACGATATCTTTTGCACAAACTTTGTAACTTTTGTTACTGTGAATTCAAATATTACTCTTTGGACAGTTTGGACAGTATCTACATTCAGATTTTACACATGGAGTAAAGAAACTTGTAATGAGTTAGGTTCCAAATAGCTTTCAAAATAACTGGCTCTGAGTGAGGTTTTTCAGAAAAAAATAAAAATGACAACAAACAATATGCACATTTGTAAAGTCATATAAAGAACCTAAGTTTAGATTATTAAATGAAAATAATAAGGACTATGCTATAAACCAGACTAAGGCTGAACAACCTGCATGCCTGAAGAAAACTGCAGTGATAAAGGGAAAAAGGCCACCCATTCTTACTGTTCTTTGTCAGTTAAACTCCCAGTCAACGACCAGTTGTGCTTTTTCATTACCATGTTAAGCTGGTTTCCTCCTGATAAGGAGGAAGAAACTCTTAGATGCTTGATTTTCCTCACAAGCCCTGAAGATGTGCAATAGCTGTTAAAAAAAAAAAAACACCACCACCAAATAATACCCTCGTAAGCCTGAATACAGGACTGAGCTCCTTACACATGTACTGTACAAAGAGTTTTTTAAAATACTTTAAAGTAGGCGTCAAATTCTGACCCCCAAAGACAGATTGGTTGATTTATCAAAATTTTTATCTGGCCAACAGTGGGACCATCAGACAATATAGGATATTTTCCCCAACCCAGATTAAACCATATAAAAGTTTCCCCCAGTTATAAACAAAAAGAACAAAATGTAACCACAAAAACCTTGGCTGCTAATACTTATGTTTTCCTATTTCTATTTCTGTAAAATCAGAAATTAATCTAAAAGTGATAAGTCTACATACTGAAACTTAATGTTTAGGTAAAGAAAGAAAAAAAAATGAAAAAAAAAGAAGAAAGATTTTGAAAAAAAGTACAACTTTCATCAAATTTAGAGTAGTGAAAACCATGCTAATACATCACCCAATATGTTATAGACGCCATAGATAGGTGGTGACAGCTACCTGGTGAAAAGCATAATTTCTGCAATATCCATCCTCAATACCATGGTTAGTTCTGGGGCAAAAGAGAAGCAACAGAACTACCGCAAAGTATACCTCAGTATAATTCCTCTAGTTCTGCTTCATAAGTATGAAGACAGGGCTAGTGGGATAATAATTTTCAAACTACCTGGTTAACCAAAATACAAAAGCAGCTGATTGTGTGTGATTTCATGATAGCACATTATTTCTTGACACCTTGGTGCCAAGAATGACGATTTGGATTTTCCTAACAACTTATGTCAAGAGTGTAGTCTCTCAAAATGAGAATTTAGGAGAACCTAAATCCATGAAATAAAGAAATAAATGTGATTCACATTTCTGTTACTGTGACACAATAATGTGATCCTAAAACTGGCTTATCCTTGAGTGTTTACAACTCGAATGATTTTTTAAATGCAGTAGTTTAAAGAGAAAACAAACATTTATGTCAAATTATTTCCTTAGAAGTAGTCTTCATTACTATAAATTTGTACACCAATAAGCCATGGGGAACTTTGTGCAAGTACCTCATTGCTGAGCAAATGGAGCTTGCTATGTTTGAATTTCAGAAAATTTTCTCATTTAAGTAGTGTGTAGAATCAAGTTTTTTAAGAATACATTTTTTCTTCATAATATTTACTTAAAGTTAAGATTAAAAGATAAGTTTTATCTTAAAGTCATATTTTTAAGGCAGTAAGTCAGTAAACTATTTTAGGAAGCCAACTCCCATTGTGCTTTGTGGCTGTTATTCTAGTAAACAGAGACCATAGTGAACTGAATCTACAGAGATGTCCCAAAGTAAACAAGAAAAATTGCAGATGTGTAACTGAACTTTAAAGTATGGGGTGTTAATGAAGAAAGGAAGCTGGGCACATATCATGAAGGGAGATTGAAATCTGGGGTAGCTCAATAGAAAGGACTGAAAATATTTAAAGTGGTTCATGAGTAATGAATATTCCCAATTTTGCTGTTACTCTATCTGGATTTTTTTATATCCTTTGCCAGGTGAAACAAGAAAGTGAAGAGATAATTAAATTTCATAGTCAGTGCACAATAATAGAAGAAATTATGTCTATACCTCACTTTGTAGATGAGTACCTGGAAGCCCCAGCTCTTTATAGAAGCAATGAAGGGGGACTCCTGCCCAGCCAATTCCCCCAGACATGTGATTGAAACATGAAAGTTCTAGCAGGTTGTGAGTAGCACTGAGACAGAATACAGTTTTATTTTAGTGTACTTTAGTTTTTACACTAATGCCCTTGTTCAGAATAAAAGGCACTGTTCAAAATATTTGAAAACTAGAAAATGATATATGAAAAGAGTTGACAAGAAAAGCTCTGAGTGATTAGGTCTGTTGAAGTAAGCTAAAGAGCCCCAGAGGAAATAGTAGGAAAGGATAATCATTTAGATAGTAAAATAGGAAAAGCAGAAATTATACATGGGCACATACACACATGTATGCATACATACATTCATACACACAAACCGTTAGAATGCATAATTTTTAATATGTTCAGTGCTACCAGTATCTAGAGAAAATAATCACTAGGTATTTTCTGTGAAAACTAATTTAATTGAAACAGTATTCATAAAACTAGGAATAATGCCACATGCATTCAATGGGATCTTTTAAATATCTTCAATTCTTTTTTAAAAAATGTACCTATTTAAATCAATTTGTATTCAAGCTGTGCTTTAACTTTAAAAATTATTGAAATAATCTTTGAGACTGTTAATTGTTTCATTAGAAAATCTGCAATGAACCATTGTTCAACCTCTAAAAATAAACATTTTTTAAAAATTATTGAATGATATCATTATTTGAAATATGTTTGTCAATGCATCAGAACTAGGATTTGTTCAGGGAATATATATTTCTTTAAAGTATGTAATAAGGCACTGATTGGAGGATGTTAGGGGTTTTACTTGTTGTTCCATTAGGAATGCTGGCTAAAGAGGGTTATACTGATATGACTAAAATTTTTCTAGGTACAATGGTGGAATGAGAAACCAATTCATTTTCCTCAAAATGTGTGGGACTTTACACAGACAAACAGCATTACACAGCGTAGGTAAAACCCAAGGAAATTTTAATCTGGCTCCCTTCCCATCCCACCCCAGTGTCCTGAAGTCCAGTGGAGAAGTAAGAGGAGAAAACTTATACAAAGAGAGAAGTAAAAGATTTATAGTTTTGGGGCACCTGGGTGGCTCAGTGGATTAAGCCTCTGCCTTTGGCTCAGGTCATGGTCTCAGGGACCTGGGATTGAGCCCCACTTGGAGCTCTCTGCTCAGCAGGGAGCCTGCTTCCCCCCCTCTCTCTGCCTACCTCTCTGCCTACTTGTGATCTCTCTGTCAAATAAATAAATAAAATCTTTAAAAAAAAGATTTATAGTTTCTTAGCATTCAAGAAAGTGTTTAGTGCAGACTGATTTTTGAAAATGGAAAATGGATTAATTATGGCAGGTTGTCAAGGAAGCTGAGTCCTTTAATTGGGAAGATAAGAGGAATGACACTTCTTTCAGCAGATCACAGAAGCATTAGAGTCATGGTCTCATGAGTATTTTATTGTCTCGGAACTTTCCAGAGAAAAGTTTATCAAGCTTTCCCATTAGGGCCAGCTGAGTGTGGTGCTAATTTGTCAAGTGTGTCAAGTCACCCACAAGTTGGGCTACCTGGACATGACAAGCTCATCCAGGCTTTCAGAGTCTAAATTCAAAGTGCTTCTTTGATCAAACTGACCATTCAGCTTAGTATATAGTGCCCACATGGAGGACATTAGGAGAAAGAAAGGAAAAGTGAATTGGAGTAAACTGGAGAGGGAGACGAAGCACGAGAGACTATGGAGTCTGAGAAACAAACTAAGATGTTTCAAAAGGGAAGAGGTGGGGGGGATGGGTTAGCCAGATGGTGGGTATTAAGGATGGCACGTATTGCATGCAGCACTGGGTGTGGTGCATAAACAATAAATCTTGGAACAATGAAAAAAAATTAAAAAATATATAGTGCCCACAGGCTCCAACTATCTTAAGGGGCAGTGAGCCAGGGAATAAAAATATCATCACAGATTGGAATTAGAATGGGTAGGGGGATAACCCCAGGCTGAAAGAGGGCATTATCCTAGGAACACTTTACCAAAGCATAGGGACAGAGTAAGTCATGAGTAGACGTTGCTATTAATAACTTTATCATTCTCAAATGGACCAGTGGGTTTACAGGCTCCAATATTGCAAATCTATTAACTGAACCTTTTCCAACATTATGATTTCCAGTATAATAGCACCTTTTTATTTACAGAGACTTTGGCCATCACTTAAGAATACTCAGGCTCCTGAAGGTAATAAAGGCATTGAGTATAGCTACTCTTTAATTCCAAAAATTGAGTAGAAGGTAGCTAATGAATTAAAGGCCAAACATGTTCCAGAAAACATTGTCATATGTCATGTTTTATGTTTTTCATAACCATTTCAACAAATTAAAAATAGTTCCTGAAGGAGTAAAATTTATTCTATATAGATTTATATTTTTAGAAGCTAGTACACATCCTACTTTGTAGGTGAATACAAAATCAGGTTGGGGATTAATTTTTTCTAATAGCTTTGCCACCTTATATGTCAAAGTGCCTTGTTTGGTGCTTAGCATACAACAAAGACATAAAAACATGAGTTGAAAAGGAAAAGGGGACATTTTTTTTGCCTTGATTGTCCTTAACTATTTTATCTATAACAGTTTAAAAGTAAAATGCACATATCCATTTGTTTCAT